CAGTGTAGACATAGCCTAGGTGAGTGAATGTTGAGCTCCACATTTAATCAAACATCTAATTTGCACATGTAATTTAAATAAACTGAGTATATGCACATAGAAATTGAGAGAGAGTGTTGCATTTGTATATGCAGTTACTTGAATGTAATTCATAATTCTGTGCACAATTTTATTTTATTTTATTGCCAAGCTTATTGTGCACTTAACATGTTTTAAAATCTGGTCCCGAATGTATTTAATAGCAGAGGGCACTACTACTTCTCTTTTTTAAAAAGCAGATATTGCCATAGTTTTCACATAGTTACTACGGTACATTCTCCCTTTCTTTTATATGCACTGTGTTCTCTTATTTTTTGTTCTCTGTGTGACCCACAGCAGGTGCAGCAAGGAGAGTGGCACTGTCTGCTTCCTCTCACATTGTCCTGCCAATGTGTCATGGCCGTTCCATCATTTGTGCCCCTGCTGAGGTTTCCAACCAGGGGGCCAGTGGTTACGATTGGGCATTTGTCCATTAGGAAGTTGACTGAGAGCAACAGCTAAACAGCTTTGGGATAGAAATGATTTTCCCTCACTACTGACCTTGGATGAATATAAACTCTACATCTGTAGGTAAAAACCTGTATTTCGTTAACTGTATTCAACAACTTTCCACAGACAAGGTAGGCCACTGTGACTTCCAAGACAGCCACTGAAATATAATGGCTCATGAACCCCTTCAATTAAATCGTCTCAGAATGACTCAAAGCTTCTCATTATGGTCTGTTGTGTCAGCAGGGATCACTGATATTTTATGGGCCTAAAAGAGAAACTACAGCCACATGCACAAGAGCTATAACAATTCTTTTGTCTCATGTTTCAGTGAACACCTTTCAAATATAATTAGACCACTTTTTCTTTCTTTTTCTTAACAAAATACTTCCAGCTAACACTTCCCAGGCAATTAGTTAAAAACAGCCAAATTGCAGTATTGTCAAAAGTCTAACACTCACCAAAAAAGAGGAAACTCAGAGTTCCCCTGCTCACCTCATGCCATTATGCTTATGGTATTGCTGGGGTATAACAAACAGTGCATAATATTCTATACTGTACCACATGTGCACAAATATCAAAGCGCAGCAGCATGAATTAAGGATAGGGTTTCAGCCTTCATTAGGAAATCTCTTGCACTTATGAGATTAAGTCAGAACTATAGCATTATTTTAGCATAGATTTTGGTGTTTAATTATGTAATAAGATTTACTGCAGTCATTTAACAGATGTTGATTCAGGGTCAACGTTTCTCATAAATTAGTTCTGAAAGGATTTGTTACTTTTGGTTCAGCAAATACATCCAGAGTGCAAAGAAAAAGGGGGAAAACCAATAAACTCTGAGTTGATGGGTTCCTTGGGATTCTTTCTTCAGTTACATATCCACATTTTTCATGATTTTAATGACTATGTAGCCAAAGGAATGTTTCTCTTAACACGAGAGATGGCCCAAAACAAAACCCAATATCCAAACATCCCCAAAGTTCGGGAAAGTTCAAAGTTTGGGGTTTTTAACTTCATGGCTCTGGCCCATTCATTTTTCATAGTAGTGGGACGTAATCGTCATAGGACTCAACAGTGGAGGTTGCTGAAATGCATGCTTTAGTTGCAGTCGTAAGAATTTTATTTTCTGTATCTAGTGAGACAGGCATCAAACAGCCATTTCTGCACCCACATGGATGACTGTCCCAGGCTTTGAACAGCCATATTCCTTCAACATTCAGGACAAGCTTGTTCTGGGGCAGAGTAAGAAAGTACTGCTGCTTACCCTGGGTACATCTATACTGCAACACTATTTTGAAATAACTAGCACTATTCCGAAATAACTTGGTCTGTGTCTACACAGCAGTCAATTATTTCGAAATAATGTCCGACTCCTGTAACCCTCATTGTACGAGGAATAAGGGAAGTTGGAGGAAGAGTGCTCTATTTCAAAATATGTTGTTTCGAAATAAGATACGCAATTGATATAGCTCAAATTGCATAGGTTATTTCAAGTTAAACCCTGCAGTGTAGACGCACCTCTGTGTATTCACTCTGATCACCAAATCCAATTCACACTGGTTTGTTATAATTCCTAGCTACAGAGCATGGCTCTTTAACTCAAGCTATAAAGACCGATGCTTCAGATCTAGACTCTCCAGTTCACACTCTGAAGTATTGGCTAAGATGATGGCCATCACACATACATCTTCAAAAGGTGCTTGGGTGTGATACACAGTACTCCTACCTAAAAACACACCTATTGCTTCTTCCTTTGAAAAAAATCATCCGTAAGTGTTTTTGGAAGCAGTATATCTGTAGATTCTGTCTTTGGAATTCTCTGACACTATACCAGTGATGTTATCCAGAAATATAATTTAAAACACCCAATATACTATCAGTCAGTCAATAGTTGTGGTAACGGAGATCCATTCTGTTCTAACATCTCTTAAAAAAAACCTCCCTTATAATTTATGCACAAACAAATTTCATTGGGGCTGAAATTATACTCTGTCAGTTTAACAGTGAACTCCATTTTGCTGGGAATAGTTTCGAGGAAACCAGGCAAGGCATTTTTAATAATCTTGTACTTAGCACTCATGTGGCACTTTTCATCTTCAAAGAGTTTTAGATCGTTAATGAATTCTCACACCACACCCTGTGTTTAGCTATAGGGAGACCAAGTGACCTATAAAAGGCTACACTGGGCGTCAGCAGCAGAGATGGGATTAGAATGAGTGACTTTGGAGCAGTAACTGTGTTCATTCAAGGCATGCTTAGAATACTAAAGCATTTACTGAAATTCACTGCCTCTGTCTTGGAGAGGTTAGAAGTAGAGAAGGGTAGATACATAAAAGCCTTCATTAAGACGAATCCCAATTATTATTGTCATTTGTAATGGTGTGTCCCTTAAAGGCTACCATATCACAGTATATTGAGCATCATCAAACTATTAGTAGATATAGTGTAAGAGTGAAGAGGAATGTAAAATCAACTGTAAAACAGTATTGAATCCATTTCTGTGCATGTGTATTTGATTCCACAAGACTATCCACAACCCATTCCCTTTGCAAGAGAGTGCCTCATTAGTGCTTCATCGGTAACTATAATATTATTAAACATTTGTACAATGTAGCACTGTGAATTTAAATAGTAATTTTTACACTGATGACTGGATCTCTCATTTTGGCAGGAATAAGGACATCAGTGTAAAAACTGCTGTCGGAAGAGAACAGGGCCCATAGACCTTCCTTGCCAAGAAAATATCAATTAACGAGGTTGTGCATTTAAATGCAGTGATGTTTAGTGGACAGAGCATTGGACTAATGGCTAGGAGGTCCTAGTTCTAATCTCAGCTCTCCCATTAACAAGCTCTGTAAACTTCGGCAAGTCACTTCACCTCCTTGTGCCTATTTCCCCAACCTTCCTTTCTCTGCCTTGTCTATTTAGACGTCAGTTCTTCTGAATAGGGACAGCTTCTTACTCTGTACAGTGCCCTAGCACAGCGTAACCCTTATCTTAGTCAGCGTCTCTAGACATCACCATAGTACAGATAATACACAGTTATTATCACTATTGCTATATCAGATACAGTATACATTGCAAGCGAATATTAGCTGTGGTCCTATGTAGTCTGTACCAAGTCAGACCTAAGTTCTGCAGCAAGGCTCCTGCTTTTATTTTCTAGTGGCAAGTTCCTCAAGCTACTTCAGCTGCTCCAAGTAGTTTTAAAAAAAAGGGGGGGGAGGGGAGACAATGCTTTAAGTGTGAAAATTAATGATAAAATAGGCATACTGCATACATTTTGAAATTAAATTCAATTGTGCTGCCCTCACATATTGAGTCTGCAAAGTGTCACACACTGAAAACCCATTACTGCAATGTAAGAACTGCTGTGAGAAAGCCAGTGGTTTGGACAGTAAAGTAGTGTGAAATGGAGATCTGACATTCACTGGTTTGGAATTGATTTGCATTATTGGTGCTTCAGAATCAGTGTTCACATCCGGGAGGGGACGTGTCTCCACTTTTCCTCCCCTTTGCTGGAAGAGATGGAGGTAAAAGGCTTGTTGGGGGAGAAGCTTGAAATCTTCAGAGTTAACATTGCGATGATGATTTTTACACTTTACACATCTCAAACCTATGGTTACAGGGTGTCATTTGCAAACTTAGGAATCACTCACATTACAGGGTTTTGTCACATCCCTTGATGGGCTGGAATGGGTTACAAATGAAAGCTTAAGACATTGTGCAACAAAATTCTGTATCTTCACTGACTCTGTAACAAAATCCACTGGCACAGAATATTGGGCACTCACATGAGAAAGGTCTTACGTACCAGAACATCTGCTGGGATTTCCAGAAACACTCAGTGTCGGCCTCACTCTGCTCCAAAAGCCAGTGCTTCTGAAAAATCTCAACCTTCCCTTTCAGATCTTTCACACTGCAGATTGTACCGTGTTAGTGACAAGTACCGTGTTAGTGACAAATGCCCAGAAAGCATTATCAAGCAGAGCTTTGCCAAAAATCATTACAAGACAAAAGTTAGCATCACTGAACACACTGCCTGATAGCAAAACTGTTTCAGAGACAATGAAATCACTAGTTTCATATGCCAAGTGTGCTAAAACTACAAAGGCAATTTCCCATGCCTTTGACATTCATATTTCACATCAATAGCTATGAATGGGACACATCTAGCCTACTTAATTAGCTTCATTAACAAGGGTCCTACCATTGACAGGCAACTGTTTTTGCTGTTATATGTATCTCGGATTCTATATTTCCACTCCAACCCATCTGATGAAGTGGAGTTTTTTTACCCACAAAAGCTCATGATCCTATACCCATTTTTAAACCTAGTATGACATTTACAGCAGAATGAAGTGAGGTAGTCAAATATTCATGCCTCCTTCTGTAATGGGTACTTGCAAGTGACTTGATAGAGAAACTGAACAAAAGAGAGAGGCTAATAGTCTGATTTTCTGTTTCAGTGGAGCATGACAGAGAGTTCCATCATCAGCGGTATCACCATCGGGAATTCAGGTTTGATCTCTCCAGGATCCCGGAAGGGGAAGCAGTGACTGCTGCCGAGTTCAGGATATATAAGGATTACATCCGAGAACGGTTTGATAATGAAACATTCCAGATAAGTGTCTACCAGGTACTGCAGGAACACCCAGGAAGGTGAGTGATAGGACGGGAGCATACTGAGTATATTGCATAACTTTCAGTGCATTTACAGGGCTAGGTTCTGCTGCTCCTAATTAATACCAGTGTAAATTCAGAGCAACTGTACCAAAGTGAAGTAAGCTACTGAAGTGAAGTAACTCTCGATTAAAATAATGAAGGTAACAATGAGCAGAAATTTCTGCCTTTAGAAAGTAAGTATTTTTTCCACTTTAGAGATTGTTAGTGCTAGAGCTTCAGGAAAAGTGTATTTATATAATTTTATAGTTTTGCTTTAGAGATCACTCATTGTGCTTGAATGCCAACAAATCTTGATTGGCTAGAGCCTGTCACCACTCAGTATTCTCTTAACAGAATTCTCAAGGGTATCTAATGCTGAAGGGTAACTTATTTACTCATCTTTATTACAAGAAGCATTTGAGACCTCTAATTAACACAGGCAGATGCTCTTCATATCAACTGATTGTTATTGTGTGTGCAAAACTTCAAAATGAACTATTTATTTTAGGGGTGGGAAACCTTTCTTTTGGATTGAGGGCTATTGGCCCACAGAAAAATCAGTAGTGGTCCCTGGCTAATAAGAAAAAAGACACTCATGGAAATGCGTCTGGGTGGGAGCAAGGGTGCAGAAAGGGGCTGAGGGTGCAGGGGTCTGGTCAGGTGGTGGCTACAGGAGCAGGGTGGGCAGGAAGGGGATGCAGGATTGGGGTAGGGGTGTGTGGTCTGGACAGGAAGGGGTGCAGGAACAGTGTGGGAGTGGGGTACAAGAGGGGACAGGGACAGGAGTGCCTACCTGGTACAGTTCCCAGGGGGGCGCAGGTGGTTCTGTCCCATGCTGGCCTGCCCCGTCCCCTGCCAGGTAGGTTCCCCACCCCTGATTTAATCCCTTCCACACAGTTATTAATGTACACCGTGCTCCCTGAAAAACGGAGGCAGAACCTGCAAGCCAGCCCTGGGGACAGAGCTTCCCTGTACTGCAGTTCCTGGCGCAGAGTCCCCTCCTTCCACACCAGGCAGAGCTCGTGAGTCGGATGCTGCCCCCAGTTTGCCTTGATCTCACCTGTGAGGCTCAGGACTCCCGCCACCCGTCATGGGGAGCCGATGCTGGTGCTAAAGCCACACAGAAGAGAGAGAACACCGATGCTGCACCCACGCTGCCTGACTGTAGCATGCACACTGGCTTGCCCTGCTGTGGAATGGCAGCCTCGCAGGCCGCAGGTTCCCCAACCCTGATTTAATCCTGATTTAATTTAATAAGCAGTTATTAATGTATGCCATGCTCCCTGGCAAATTCTCCAGAAGACCTGAGCAAGAAACTGTGTTTAATTTTCTCACCTGTTTTTAGTCCCAGTTAATCAGAAACCTCAAAACCATTTATCAGTAACACTTAGCCAGTTGCATTTGCACTTTTCTTTTACACATGAATCACACAGACAGTAACAAAATCCTTTCTGCAGCTATGCACATACAAAATCACTTCAGAGATATTGGTCAGAAAGTTATTCTCCAGAATGACTTAGTGTGTATCAATAACAGAGCTATTACATCGCCAAACAACAGATCTCAAAACAAGATGAACAAAAAATTATCCAATGCGTGTGACTTTGTGTTTTTTTCAGTGTTTATGACAGCTGGTCAAAAATGCAGGGAAAAATAACACAAAGAAACTTGATGTCATTCAGCTGCATTCTAAACACAAAAGTTCTTTCAAATTCTCACTTGCAATGTGCAATCCAAATAGGGTGCTGGCAGTAGTTGGAGGATATGTTTGCTACTCCAAATTTACTCAGTCACCCACAACTTGAAGAATAGCATCTCCAAAGGTTTTTTGTGACTGACTTTGCAGAGGGCTGTAACTAGACGTGGCTAATGTGAACGTGGGGTGATTAACATGTACACGTATTTACCTATGGGCAGCTAGTTGGCTTGAGCAATGGTCCTTGCAAACCATCCCTGGCACAAATCATTCTTATTCCTATAAGCAAAGAATGAGAGAGAGTGCATGTACTGCATATATTTGAATCCATTCGGTGGGGGAGATGGGTTTGGGAAGAAATGATGATCTTGTGGTTAACATCTGTTACTACAAATTAAACCTCTCTAATCCAGCCTCCTCTACATAAGAACGGCCGTACTGGGTCAGACCAAAGGTCCATCTAGCCCAGTAGTCTGTCTGCCGACAGTGGCCAGCACCAGGTGCCCCAGAGAGGGTGGACTGAAGACAGTGATCAAGCGATTTGTCTCCTGACACCATTTCTTTCCCCTGGCTAATAGCCTTTTATGGACCTAACCCCCATGAAATTATCTAGCTTCTCTTTAAACTCTATTATAGTCCTAGCCTTCACAGCCTCCTCTGGCAAGGAGTTCCACAGGTTGACTACACGCTGTGTGAAGAAGAACTTTCTTTTATTAGTTTTAAATCTGCTACCCATTCATTTCATTTGGTGTCCTCTAGTTCTTCTATTATGGGAACTAATAAATAACTTTTCTTTATCAGCCCTCTCCACACCACTCATGATTTTATAGACCTCTATCATATCCCCCCTCAGTCTCCTCTTTTCTAAACTGAAAAGTCCCAGTCGCTTTAACCTCTCCTCATATGGGACCCGTTCCAAACCCCTAATCATTTTAGTTGCCCTTTTCTGAACCCTTTCCAAGGCCAAAATATCTTTTTTGAGGTGAGGAGACCACATCTGTACACAGTATTCAAGATGTGGGCGTACCATAGTTTTATACAGGGGCAGTAAGATATTCTGTCTTATTTTCTGTCCCTTTCCTAATAATTCCTAGCATCTTATTTGCCTTTTTGACCTCCGCTGCACTCTGTGTGGAAGTTTTCAGAGAACTGTCCATGATAACTCCAAGATCTCTTTCCTGATTTGTCGTAGCCAAATTAGCCCCCATCATACTGTACGTATAGTTGGGGTTATTTTTCCCGATGTGCATTACTTTACACTTATCCACATTAAATTTCATTTGCCATTTTGTTGCCCAATCACTCAGTTTGGTGAGATCTTCTTGGAGTCCCTCACAGTCTGCTTCTGTCTTGACTATCCTAAACAGTTTGGTATCATCTGCAAACTTTACTACCTCACTGCTTACCCCTTTCTCCAGATCATTTATGAATAAGTTGAAAAGGATTGGTCCCAGGACTGACCCTTGGGGTACACCACTAGTTACCCCTCTCCAATCTGAAAATTTACCATTTATTCCTACCCTTTGTTTCCTGTCTTTTAACCAGTTCTCAATCCAAGAAAGGACCTTTCCTCTTATCCCATGGCCATGTAATTTACACAAGAGCCTTTGGTGAGGGACCTTGTCAAAGGCTTTCTGAAAATCCAAGTATACTATATCTACTGGATCCCCCTTGTCCGCATGTTTGTTAACCCCTTCAAAGGGAACTCATAGATTAGTAAGACAGGATTTCCCTTTACAGAAACCATGTTGACTTTTGTCCAACAAATTATGTTCTTCTACATGCCTCACAATTTTATTCTTTACTATTGTTTCAACTTTCATAGACAGTTTCTATGTTCCAGTGTCTTTGGTGAACTTGGGGCTGGAGCACTCCTGGGAAAAAACTGCATGCTGGGATCAGGAGCCTTGCAGGACTGGGAAAAATGGAGCCCTGGAACACAGGAGCAGAGCTTGAGAGCTCTGTGGAGGGGTGCCCCAGTGAACTGAAGCAGTGGCGCTCCAGAGGGTGGGGAGAAGAGCAGCAGCACCCTGGGAAGCTGGCAGCCAGGAGTAGAAGGGCAAAGTAGACTTTTCCTAGTCGGACAAATTCCCTGGTTCTGGACCAGTCCTGAAGGTGCTATAGAAGGGAGGTTCAACCTCTACTGTAATACACAAGGCAAAACACATAAAATGAGCATGCACACCGAGGATTAAGGATGATGATCAATGGCTAAACCCAGGCCAGGGGTGCATTCCATTGGAGTCAATAGATCTCACCTACTTAGAACAGGTTAGAAAATGGCTTTGAGTGTTTTGAGCTGTTGATGATCAGCAGAATGGCAACTTTTTGAAAAGCACCGGTCAGTATTTCTTTTGGAAGGTACATTTGTAACTACAGAACATGGACACATCTTGGCTGGAAATTCTACATTCCATGTCCCATTTGCTCTTGTTACTCACAGGGCTGATGATCTGCAGCTTGGGCTTTCTCTTATCTCCTGTTGCAACAAGATCAGCTTTTTTTAGCCACAGTCAATATGCATGGAGGACATGTGACTGACATGCATAGCTGTGTGATCTGTTTTTCTAGCTGAACATCTGGCTCTAAGTAGCATTTACAGGGGCTCCATAAAAAGTCTTTGGGATACTTGAGACATAGGCAGCCATGGATCTTGAATTGTCTGTTTCTGCGGGAGAACCATTTCCTGTTGATTTTTCTTGAGTAGAGGTGGCCAGAAAGCAAAAGTATTTTCACAAGAATTGGTGAAAATATGCTCTGCTTTGCATTGAAAATATATTTCAATTAAACTTTTTTAACCTGCTCTGCTTATGACCCTCCATCCAGATTAAAGCTGTATAAACAATCCACGCTATCAAGTTATTATGACTGAGCAGGTGGACAGAAAAAGCAAACTCTTTCCAATGTGGATGCATAAATAGAGCCCTGTGGATATCCACTTTATAACCATGAATATTTGTGACTCATTTTTGTTGATACAGGGCTCTAAGTACAAACCCATTTTTGTGCACGGCTCTATGTATAAACACTCTTACTCCTTTGTTTCCTTAGTTGTCTGTTTCTATCTTTCTAACCGTGTTAGAGGACTATACCAGTCTCATGTACTTAGCATTTAAAAAACCTAATAAAATCTACACATGTAAGCAAAGGGTCTTTTACTTATAGCTTGAAAAGTACAGTGTCTTTCTAAAGGAAAACACAGAAAATGACTTGGCCTTTTCCTCTTCCAATACTGCTGGAGTCTTCATAATTCCACATTGGCCTTTACATAGGATGTGAGAGTGAATAAAATGGGCCATTT